TATATATATATATATATATATATATATATATTTATATATAAATATTACATAAAAAAATAGAACAAATATAATTCTATTTTGTATTTTATTAATATGATTTTTTATTTTATTTAATATTTTTTATACTAATTATACATTTCATAGTGTTTTTATGTATTTTTATATTTATTCCAAAATAATAACTAAAGGCAGTAACAATTTGAACAATATTCTGGAAACAGTTTACAATAATGTTTCATTAGTTAACTACTTTAGTTAACATGAACTAAGAATAAACAATAGCCTACTTCTACATCATGTATTAATCTTAGTTAATATTAATTTCAACATTTACTAATGCATTTTTAAAATCAAAAGTTGTGTTTGTTAACATTAGTTTATGCACTGTGAACTAACATGAACTAACAATGTATTTGTATTAACTAATGTAAACAAAGATGAATAAATACTGTAATCAATGTTCATTGTTTGTTCATGTTAGTTAACTCATTAAATGACACCTTATTGTAAAATGTTATCAATATTTTTTATTTGTGAACTGATTTTCAGCTGGTCTTTTTAATAGTCAACTTATTTCAGGTCATCGTCATGAAGCTCTGTAAACACTGCCACAGACACAAAGATATATCTTTCAATTCATCACGCTGCATGCTCACAAAAAACTGACGCAGCCATCATATTTTCAGGCCATTTCAAGTTTTGTTTTGATGTGATACAAAGTAGTGGTATCTAAGCGGGAGAGTTGTTTACTTACTTTATAATTAGTCAATAACGCCATCATTTTCTTCTTTCAGACCGAGAGCTTGCAAGAAAAATAGAGGCGGGATTTATCACACTAACCAATCACATCCAATCATAACCGATCATATCCAATTAGAGGCATTGCCTCCTCTCACGTGACTTTCCCCCATTTGTTTCAATGAGCCTCCAGAAAAGTCATAGCACGCTTTGGGGTCTCTGTAGAAAGTCTATGGACCGAAGGGAGGCAAGCCTCCGCTGTAACTTTACCTGCGGGTGGCGCTGTTGGACAGTGTTACTTTATAAAAACGAGTGACTTTTAGACTCTTAAAGGCAGATTGAGGGATTTCTGGTAGCCAATGTTTATATTTGAAATCACCAAAACAAACACGCCCCTACCCCAAAAGGGTCTTGCCCCTATTTTGATAACTCCGCCCCACATATATGAACGCAACCCAGGCAATGATTAGTTCTGTGAAACAAAGCAAAACCAATGTTACACCGTGTCTACGGACGTGAGCGGCGCGGCGCAACAAATCCCCGACAGAAAACTGCTGCCGGGTTCTATTTATGACGTGCTGACACACATTTCAA